GAGTGTTGTTGTGTGTGTGTTGTGTGTGGGTGTAGTTGGATGTTTGTGTATGCAGTAATATCAGTATATATATATCATTATATGGCTAGTATATTCGAATCTGAGATATGCTTCTATATGCAAGATGTGAGAGGTTTATCTAGGATACCATGATGAGTATAAGTACGACGTACATCACACATATAACTAGTGATACTGTTAAGGGGTATTGTTACAAGTCACACACATCACACAACACACACACACATCACACCACCACACACACACACGACATTTGAAAGTCACACACACCCGTACACAGCGCACACAACGCACGCAAAACACCATATATTTGGACACAACACACACACAGCACACACACAATTCACATAATATATATATATATCAATCACACACACACACACATACAACACACACACGCACGCCCACCGGCATATATATATATATCTCTATTGGTACACACACACTACACATGTATTAGCACACATTATGTTCATCAACACACATCACACACAACACAATGCACAGTAGGTGGCACACACACACACACACACACATATTTTTTACATCACACACACACCAACATACTATATATAATATATATATATATAGTAATATATATATCTATGTGGTGTGTGTGTGTGTGTGTGTGTGGTGCTGTGTGTGTGTGTGTGTGTGTGTGTGTGTTGTGTGTGTGTGTTGTTGTTTGTGTGCGTGTATGTGGTGTTACTTGTATGGGTATAACAGCTATCAGGTATCTACATATGTGTGTGTGTGGTATATATATTATAATATATATATTATATATTATTTATATGTATATATATACTATACTATAATATATATATATATATGTATATAATATATGTATACTTTATACTATAATTATATGAGTATAGTATAGTATTTATATATATAATATTTATATGTATAGTATATATAATAATATAGTATATTATATATATGTATAGCTATATAGGTATATATCATATATAGTATTAATATATGGGTATATAGTATTATTTGATATATAGTTAGTGAGTTATAATTTATACATACTGTCATATACGAGCACACTACATCACACACACAGCACACACACATATCATGTGCATATATACATATTATAATATAGTACTAGAGTAGTTATTATTACTATATAACTATATATAAGTATATATATATACTATTATTATATATTTAATATATACCATACGCAAACACACACAAGTGCACACAACACACACACACACATCACACATATATGTGCATATATATCATAGTGTGTATATACATATGGTAGTGTATTGATGGTATAGACTTATATTATTATATAGTATAGTATATTTATATATATTATTACTATATTAGTATATTAGTGGTATCATTATATACTATTTAACGTAGTGTATAAATATATCCGGAGTATAGTATTATATCTATATAATTTATATATATATTATATAGTATTTATATTATCAATATATATATTATATATAATTAGTAAGGTAGTGTTTATATTAAGTATGTGTGTGGGTGTGTGTGTTGTGTGTGTGTGTGTGTATATATATATATATATATATAGTGATAGTATTATATATATTATATATATATATATATATAGCTAGCTATATACTAGCTAGGTATATCTTTATTACATATTTATGTTATAGTGTAATGCGTTATTATTTTGTAGGGTAAAGTAATGTAAAACTGACTACCTCATATGCACAAGCCTATGTGCGGATATGTGCACTCATTTCCTGCCTCTAGTGCCCCCAAAGAAAGCAAACCGCCAAAAGGTGAGCGCTACGAGGCCAACGGGCGCCGACGGCAGGGCTGTGCCTGAGTCTCCTCCTCGCTCGCCCGAAGACCCCCTTCGTCTCATTCTCTCCGCCCTTTCCGCTGCATGCAATTTCGCTGCAGTGTCTAATTAACAATGCCTTTTGCTTCTGTGACAGATTGCAGGGCACCCATGTTGCCTTGCGTGCTCTCCTCTTTTGTGTGTTAGAGAACTGACGTTGCAATTGCACTGATATTTAAGAGGAAACTTGCAGAATAAAAGGAGAAACTTCACTGAACTGTCACTTTAGTTTCCGATGTCGTTGGAGGTTTGGGAAGATGGATGGACTTGATAAAAGGTCTCGGAACCTTTTCATAAAATCGGGAGAAATTACAAATAGTTTAATATTCATCGTCTAGAACAACATGAATAATAAATCGTGTCCTTTACGCGTGGTGTGGTAATAACTTGGGGTAAGTGGCTTTTTCATTATCATAGCCATTATGACCTCCTTGTCTAAATCGTATGTATCAGAAGATAGGAAAATAAGAAATGGAAATAAAGAAGACGCAAAAATGAATTAAAAGGAAGAAAACGAAGAAGAAGAATTAAGAAGGAGACTGTCTTTTTTGCATTATCATTATTATCATTGTCATCATTACTTTTTTTTCTTTAGGCGATCAGTGTCGCATAACTAATGATCAACCACATTAACTCAATCAGGTTTCGGAGCCAGTCGGTGAGACGAGAAGACGCTTAAGCAGCAATATTCCCGGGATGCTGGAGATAGAGGAGGAGGAGGAGAGGGGAAGGAGGAGAGAGAGGAGAGGGGGAGGAGAGGAGAAGGAGAGGAGAAAAAGAGGGGGAATGAGAGGGGATATGAGGTGGGGAGGGAGGAGAGGGGGGAGGAGTAGGAGAGGAGAGGGAGGACGAAGAGTCTGAGGGACTGCTGGGAAGATGCGGAAGAGAAAAGGAAGAGAAGGAGAGGAAGAAGGATGGGACAAAGGGGGAGAGAAGAAGGAGAAGGACGGGGACAGGGGGAAGGAGAAGGAGGGGAAGGAGGAGAAAGGTAGGAATTAGGGGAGAAGAAGGTGGAGAAGCTGAAGAAAAAGAAGAAGAGGAAGAAGGAGAAGAAGAGAAGAAAAGAAGGGAGGAGAGGAGGAGGAGAAAGAGGGGGAAAGAAAAAAAGAAAAGAGAAAGACGAAAAAAAAAAAATCATATAACTGACTGCAGACGAAGACGACTGAATAGAAGGAGAAGAGAAATATAAGAAGAAAAAGGAGAAAGAGAAAGGTCACACAGAAATCCCTACCATCACCAAATCACGGATCGCAGACAAAGGCGTAGGAGGCGAAGGAAAGAGAGAGAATAGGAAATTGAAAAAGAGAGAGAGAGAGAGAGAGAGAGAAGAAGAGAGAGAGAAGAGACAGAGACAGAGACAGAGAAGAAGAGACAGAGAGAGAGAGAGAGAGAGAGAAGAGAGAGAGAGAGAGGAGAGAGAGAGAGAGAGAAGAGAGAGAGAGAGACGAGAGAGAGATAGTAGATAGAGAGAGAGAGAGAGAGAGAAGAGAGAGAGAGAGAGAGAGAGAGAGAGAGAGAGAGAAGAGAGAGAGAGAGAGAGAGAGAGAGAGAGAGAGAGAGAGAGAAGAGAGGGAAGAGAAGGAGAATAACGAAATGGGAGAGAGAGGGGAGAGAGAAAAGAGATAGATAGATAGATAGATAGATAGATAGAGTAGATAGAGAGAGAGAAGAGAGAGAGAGAGGAGGAGAGAGAGAGAGGAGAGAGAGAAGATATTATATACATACTTATATATATATTTATATGTTATAGTATATTATAATTATATAAGTACTATTATTATTATAGTATAGTGTGATATTAGTTTTAGATGAGAGAGAGAAGAGAGTAGAGAGAAGAGAGAGAGGGAGATAGAATTGAGAGTGGAGAGAGAGGGATGAGTGAGAGTAGATAGGAAGAGAAACACAGTATTAGATTGAGAATTAGAATAGAGATATATTAGAAAGTATGATGAGAGAGAGACAGTAGATAGATAGATCAGATAGGATAGTAGTAGATAGATGTGAGGGAGTAGAGACGAGAGAGAGTTGAGAGAGAGAGAGAGAGATGAGAGAGAGTAAGAGGTTCAGCGAGAGAGAGAGTAGAGAGAGAGAGAGAGAGATAGAGAGAGGTAAAGAGAGAGTGAGAGTATATATATATATTTTGAGTATATGTATATCAGATACATTATATATATATATTATTATATTATATAAGTATAGTTATATATATATATATATATATAAATATAATATTATATAACAGTAGTCACACACACGTGCACACACGAAACGTTCTCTGTTTTTGTTTGTCTTCTGATGAGTGTGTGGATATTTGGTTATGTTAGTTCGGGTCGTACGT